TTTGCCAACATCCTGCAGGTTCAGACCGCAGTGCATTTTGTCATGATGCTGAGTGGGATTAGTGGTTTCCAGAGAGCTCCAGAAGTCAAGAAAGGGAAACACCTTTGCCAGTATTTGTAGGGTGGCGAGCAAGCTGGGCAGCATGCTGTTAACTCTCAGGAGTGCTGTGTGGAGCAGCACTCTTACACTGTGGTACATTCCCACTGTAGTGGCAGACTGCTGCTGGAAAGGGCCATCCTGTGTTTTCCTCCTCTGTTGCCACAGGGTGAGTTAGTTCAGCTGTGCTGATCTGACAGATTTTTTTCTCTTGTTATCTACCATGAGAAAGCATAGGTGGGTGTTACTGCGGCAAATCTGATTCTCATATATTTTCTTTTATGCGGTCAGATCTTATCCTGCCAAGTCAACATGCTGCTTAGTTTTGTCTGAGAGAAGCAGGTGGGGAACAGTTCTTAAATTTCAGGTTATGTTTTTGTTGTATTGGTTTGGAACCGTATGCAGATTTTAAATGCAGGTGGTCATTTATTAATATATGAATTAGAACAAAAGGAAAATTAGGAGTAGCTGTGCAAGTTTTGTGTACCAATCTAAATTTACGTATTGATTTAAAAAAATGCTTTCCTGCATATTAGTTCCCTGTAATTGTCCTGAATTAAAAAATGCCTCTGAAGGCCGTACTGTTGAATTCATGTAGAATTTTTCCATGAGCATAGGTAAGCAGGAGCTTTATATAAAGCACAGCTGTCAGTTTGCCTTTGACTGAAGCTTTCTAACAATGAGAATTTTGGTGATTCTGGTCAACAAATATATGGAGTGTTAGAAAAAAAAGGTGATTTTTGTGTCAAGAAGAAATACAGCCTGTGATGTTCAATATTGTTCACAGCAACATCACAATCCTTGCTGTTCCACATTACTAGGTTGGGCTGGACTCTTGTCTTTTAAAAAGATACCTATATGCATCTCTTTAATAAACTGTTCACTGGACATAAGTTTACCCAATTTAACTTTAATCCTCTTTTATCAAATAATCAGCTTTTCCTGCAGTTCGGGAATGTTATATAAGCGTAGATACTCTTAAAATTTTAAAGTGCTGACTTTTTAAAAAAACTTCAATTGTTCACTGAATTTCTCAGAGTGTATTTTTAGGAACTTGAAAAAGGTGGTCAGAATTAATAAAGACAGAGTGGTGCTGAACTAACCATGTTTAAATCCTGTATTTTGCTAAATGTGTATTATGCTTTTATAGCTTGAAATTTTGTTTTTAGCAGTTGCAAAATCCAGAAGTTCGATTTCAGCAACAACTGGAACAACTGAGTGCAATGGGCTTTCTGAACCGTGAAGCAAATTTACAAGCACTAATAGCAACAGGGGGAGACATCAATGCAGCTATTGAAAGGCTGCTTGGCTCTCAGCCTTCATAGCAGTGTTTCTTTGAACTTGAAAAAATGTAATTTATTTTTGATAACAGCTCTTAAATCTTTCAGATTGCTTTATCTCATTATGACTCTTGGGTTTGTCTTATTATAACTAAAACCAGTCTGATGCATTTGAAGGTGGAGTGCAGTAGTTTTCTTCAAACAGTGGGAATCAATGCATTTTCACTTTCTTGAATGCATCAGTTCTTCCGCATTATTTGTGATTTTTTTCAAACAGTATCAGCTTTCACTGAAATTGTTTGTTGGTTGAACAAGTTTTGTCTGACCTACAAATGGCCAATTTACAACTTAACCAGTAGCCTTCAGTAGTAATTTATGTAGATTACAAATTAAAAAGGAAACAAATTATTTGAAGCTGTGGGTACCAATCCTGCTTATTGTGATTTTGGCATGTTTTCTCTCTTGACTAGCAAGATGCTGAAAGATTTATACCACTTGAGTAATCTACCATCTTTTGCTTTAATTTGTATAAAGTATAAACACAATATATACAATGGGGAGAGCATATTTCTAGAGACTTACACTTTACAATAGAATGAGACTGTAAGTAATGTTAAAAAACCAAAAAAACCCAAATCAAACACAAAAATAACAAAACAACAAACACACACACAAAAATACCCTCAAGACCGAAAAAAGAAAAACAAACGCAGGAGAAAACGTCATAAGACTTGGATTTGATATAGAATCTTCCAGGATCTTTTGCAACCATCTCAAAAAAAATGTTTAAGCAAGTTCAGTTAAAATATATAGAATCCTTGTTCTGATTATCTCTTTACATTTAACTGTACAGAAACTTGCATTATTACATTGTCTCAGTATTCACAGAGATTAACTGTAAATTATTTTTGTCATTGTGCAGAGTATAGGGGCATGTCCTTTTGCTCTGGAATTGCTTCTAAGGCTTTTTGGCTTGTTCCATTGAGATTCTAATATGTATCCCAATTTGTAATTGGAGACATTACTTTCATTCATGGTCATGTGATACTCTAATTACTTCTAACCACCAAGTAAATAAATACTGTATATCTTTTGAGTTTCTATTGGCAGTCACTTCTCCTGTGCACAGGTAATAAATAAATTTTAAAATCTATAAGCGTCTTGTCTTGATCATTATCTAGCATTCAAAATGACTGACCAGCTTTAGAGCATTTGAGTGCAAGCTCTGGGAATTTTCACCAGCTCTGAGCTAAGATTAGTAAACAACTCTCGGAGTGTGAGGTGGTGGGAAGAGAGTAAGAGGCACATGATGCTGAGGACCTCTAGCTTAGATGAAGTGGGGATAGCAGAATAAAATAAGAAATTAATAGCATCTGCTTTTTATGATCTTTTGTGTCAGTGTAGTTGTGAACATGCAGACTGAATTCCTGTATTGCTTTTAAACACTGCTTTTGAGCACTCTTTTGACAGTACAATTTCAGTTTAAACAAATGGTTTAAAATTTTAACTTTAACTCAAAGTTGTTGATCAGTTTGATGAAGCAAAATTATAATGCAATATTGTGGACGAAGCTGAGCACATTTCAGCATTTAGTGAAATTTGAAAAATGTCTGGCAAAGCCATGTATGCAGTTTGGCATTAGGTGCACTATATCATCACAGAAGAGAAGTTATACTCACTGTCCAATAATCCTGTCTCTTACTTTGCCATTAAGTAGATTGATCAAATACTGCTGTTGCATGGTACTGGGAAAGGTTCAAGAAAGTCTCATGGCTGGCAGCCTCTGCCTTTAGATCAAAGACTTACAGATAACAGCAGCACAGAGTGTTAAACTGAATTTCACAGATTTTATTTTAGTCTAATTTAACATAGTCAAAACATTTGAAGATAGCTACAGTTTGGATTAAAAATTGTTATTACTCCTTTATCCTAGCCAGGGATCAGATCCATCCACCTACCTTCACAGTGACTTCTGTTAGAAGGGGAACTTTCATTACCCTAAGTGCAAGGCTGTGCTAGAACTGTAGAATACTTTGGGTAGGAAGGGACCTTAATGATTGTCTCGGTTTGAGAGACAGG